GCCCCAGCCCCTTCCAGTCCGTCCTGCTTGCAGTGTCCCCTCCTTCCAGGAGTGACCTCCCTGGTGGGACCTGGGCTCTAAGCAAATGTTTGGGATGGAAGCAGAGTTAGGGGGGCAAAGCGTGAGCTGGTATTCAGCGCTTCCAGAGTCTGCTCCTGCCTCTGCCCTGTTCAGTCCTGGGCAAACCTCTCCCCCTCCCTGCTCCCATAATGTGGGGACAGAACACCCCTATGCAGGGAAGCTGGCAGGGCCGTGCCCCTGAGCGAGCTCCCAGTGAGAGGTGCTGGCGAGGTCTCTAGTTGCACAGGAGTGTTTACTCTGTCTGTGTTCTTGCCATTCCAGTTGGGGACGCTGGAAAGATATCCTGACCCACGGACGGTTCAAGTGGCACCTGAACGAGAAGGACATGGAGATGATTTGTCGGGCCTTGCTGGTCTATTGTGTCAAACACTACAAGGGGGATGAGAAGATTAAGAGTTTTATCTGGGATCTCATCACGCCGACAAAGGATGGCCAGAACCAGGCTCTGCAGAATCACTCAGGTATTGCGTGTTCTCTCTGCCATTGCACCTGTACCCATGGCTGCTGTGCCAGCCCATGGGGCTGAGGCTGCAGAATTCCAAGTGGAGCTGACTGAAACAGCCAGCAAGCGGTTGTGCTTGAGCACCACGACTCTCTCTGCACAGAGAAAGTGGCTGCCATGGGACTGACCTCCACACTGACCCTTAGAGCCAGCGACAGGAGCTGGCTGGGTGGGGGATACTGTCTCTGGGCTCCCAGTGCCATGACTGGTGCAGAGAAAGCCTTGTGGTGGGAGCGGAGGTGTCATCCTACTTTCAAGTGGGCACTGCTAGGTTTTCTCTGGCCTGTGGATACTGTCAGGGTTCCCCTGCAGAGGGGCACACTAGAGAGTGGGCTCATGGAGCACGGGTAACCGTTGGATGTGAGAGGCGTGAAGGTGCTTATTCCACTCGTAGCATAGGTGTGCCTGGCTGTTCCGCAGGGGACACGGCGTGGGTCACTGGGCAGGGACCCTGCCTGTGCCTGGTGGCAGCCCCAGCCCTGACGCCAACAGCTGAGACCACCAGATGCAGCACTCGCGGCTGCGCCGGGGAAGCTGGTGGGGCCGTCTGTGCAGCTGCCTCGCCCCAGGTCGCCAGCCTGTGTCTATTCGCATCATGGGTCTTGTCCCAGACATACTGGTCTGCAGTGCCTGCCCTGATGGGTGTGAGTGCAGTGCCAGTTTGTCCCGAGACCTCTGCACTGCAGAATCCTACCCAGGTGGTGCTGCCTTCTCTCACTCCCTCTAACAGGACCCTTTATCTCAGGTTTAGCTGTGCTCTCCCTGTTCAGGGGACTTACACGCTTATTATCCAGTGTGTGTGAGGTCCGCATATTACACCACATGTCCGATTTGTAACTGCATCTGCATTCTGTTGGGTGGAGGTTTCCAGTGTATCCTCAGCTTCAGACAGGCGCCACCCAGAGCCTTCCTCAGCCCTGCCCTCCCACTGTCTCTGACTGCCTGGGCAGGGGGGCGCCGCAGATTCGCCTCCCTGCCTGCAGTGCAGCGTCTGCTCTCCATCGACGTCCCTTAGGACTGGAGCAGCACAGCCAATAGAGCCACCGTGCAAACGGCATCGTGCAGCCACTGTGGCTTTTGTCTGTAAGGATATGAAGAGGGAGCTGGTGCTGGCCCTGGGATCAGCTGGAGGGTTGTGGCCTGGGAGACACGGTCACTGCCCGTTCTGTGTCAGAGGACTGACCTAGCAGTGCAGTGCCTGCATCCTGCGCCTGTCAGGACAGGTGAGTTGGGCTGGGAGGGCCGGCTGGGAGAAGCCACAGCGCTTCCTCGGGGTGCTCAGAGCCCCACGACTGCGTGCTGCTGGTTGTGCACTTGTGGTCTGTGGCGCAAGGTGAGTAGCGAGGAGGCTGGGACTGTGCAGCCTGATTTTGGCATCAGGGAGCCAGGCTGAAACCTGGGGTTCTGTTTCGATGTGGTGGAGCACAAGGAGGGCTGTTCTGGAGTGCTGTATGTTACTTGGTGCTTAAAACCTGACATCACCATTTCCTTCTGTCTGGAAGTGTCCAGCTGGCTTTACAGTGTGAGGACCAGCACGTGGCCTTCAGCAGCTTCTTTCAGTTACTCCAATCACTTCCTACAATGTGAGCCACTCTGGCAGTGCTGCCTCCTGCCCTTGCCACACAGCCCTGCCCAGAGCGGTGCTGGGACTGGACTTGAGAGCCCTGTGGGGAGCAGAGCAAGAGTGAGAAATTGGCTGATATGAATGGGCTTGATTTAGATAGTGTCAAGTAACGAACAAGCCATGGTTTCAGTGGAGGGTCAGGAATGCTTTAGTGCAAGAGCAGCACTGAAATTGGATATTTAGCAGAGAGAAGCAACCAGGAGCTTCTCCACCAGCTCTTCAGAATGGCTTTTCCCACCTGTGAAACCTCCATGTGGTCTTGGCCAGAGGAACATCAAAACCATCTGGCCTAACCTCAGGAGCTGGAGGAGAGCAGAACACTCCAGTGTAGAGCAGCCACACGACAGGTGCTGCTGTGGCTTGCCAAGGAGCCTGAGGTACCACTCGTGCTTGCAGAGAGCTGACCAGGCGAGACATGCTCTGGGCCTCCCTGGTGTGCAGAAAGCAACAGCAACCTCCAGCCCTTGCTGGTGCATCCTGGGGATTTTCCTTCTCAATCCTGTATCTGTGTGGCTGTGAGGGGTAAGCATGGCACGTGGGCAGCCCAGGTCAGACATCTGCTGTGATCCGGCCCCGTCCTGCCTTCTGTCCTGGAAGAGGCCGAGCTGCTGAGGACACAGCATTTGCCCAGAGTTCGTCAGGCAAATTCGATGCTGGAGACAGGAGCCCTGGTCTCCACTGCAGGCCTCCAGAAGCCACCTGGGCTGGAGGCCTTGTCCTGTTGTGGAGCTGCAAACTTTATGCAGGTGTAGAGGACATGGCAACTCTCTCTCTTCTTCCATGGTGTTGCAAGATGAGATGGATGGGATGGGACTGCTGAGGCACTTCTTTCCCCTTCATGCACATAGGCAGGAGAGGACATCTTCAGGACCCTGCCTCAGAAACGCCTGCCCAGCGAGGCAGCTCATCCCTCTTGTGAGACTCCAAACAATAGTGACTCCGTCAGGAGTTGTTTCCGCATTCTGCTGTGAACTTGCACCTTATTTCAAGGTTGAAAATGTGTTTAATTTTCAGCTCCAGCCCCTGGATCTCATTTTATCTTTGTCAGCCAGATGGGACTGCGTTCCTTTTCCCTTTGGCATCTTTGCTAAGTGTAAATGCCCCCTGCAGTGATCTGGTTCCCATGCAGCCCTCCTCCTGATGCATGCAATAGGAAACAATCCTTACAGATCAGATCATCAGGATTATCTTCTGGTCTTTGATCATTTGGGATCCTCTTGTTTGAACTCTTGTCCCAAATCACTGTGTTGCCCCCATAGGGTGGACTTCAGAGCTGTCTGTGGTGTCTAGGTAAAGCTCTAAGAGCCATGCCTGGGACCAAGGTCCCTTCCGTCCTTCTTTGTGATGGTTTTATACATCAAGGGACCATGTTGTCCTTTGGGCTTAGCATTGCACTGAGAACTCACAGCAATTAACTTTCTGTCATAGTCACCAAGTTTTTCTCGGAGAAGGAGCCTTCTGTGCTCTGTGTTTGCCCCATGCACCTCCCCCACCCTCTGACCTGCAGCCAGGAGCTTTGCACGGCCTCCTCCAGCTCCTTGGCCCTGCTGCCCTGCCTGGGCACTGCAGCACCAGAGACGCTTCGCCGCGGTGCCCGGCCTGGCCCCCGGTGCTCACTGGCTGCCACTTGCTGTTACAGGCTTGTCAGCCCCGGTGCCCAGAGGCAGGAAGGGGAAGAAGACAAAGAACCAGATGCTGCTTCCCGAGATAAAGAACGCAGACTGGCTGGCCACCTGCAACCCCGAGGTCGTCCTGCATGACGACAGTTACAAGAAGCACCTCAAGCAGCACTGCAACAAGTGAGTGTGGGAGCCCACGCCCGCTTGTGGAGGTGGTGGGCTGAGGGCCTTAGCATGGGGAGGGTGGGAGGGAGCTGCAAAGGGCTCACAGCCCGTGCAGGATCACGATGCTCCAGCTGCTGGACCGCTCTCAGGTGCTCCTCCAGCTAATGGGACCTGTGCCCTGAGCAGCAAACCTCCGGCCGCAGGGCCCCCGCAGATGGCCCTGGGCTGGGCACTGTGGTGTGACACCACATGGCCAGTGCCTGTCCTGCTTTGAGAAAGTGGGTCCTCCCACATGGGGAAACATGGTGTCGAGCGGGTTTCCCTGGCCTTGCTGACCCTCGGGCTGTCCCTCTGCAAACGCTCTGGGGAGGGGCATTGAGCCAGGCCCTCGGCTGGCATCTGGGCACCTGGTGCTAGTGTGCATTCCTCTCTGCTGCCCGGGCCAGGGTTCTCCTGCGGGTGCGAATGCTGTACTACTTGAAGGCTGAAGTGCTTGGGGAGGCCGCGGACAAAGCCTTCGAGGGGACCCCCGCCAGGTAGGACCTTACGGTGACACCTGCGATGCTTCTCAGGGTGGTGGTGGCAGCGCTTGAGCACTGCCACAGCCATCCAGCCCAGCCATGTCTGGTCTTACCATGGTTCTGGGTGAGTCAGACCCCATGGTCGTATCCCCAGGTCTTGCTTAGGCAAAACTTCATCCTTAGACAGCAACTCTGCCTGAGCAGGGAGTGCAGCCATGACAGCCCTGTTGAGGCAGTTCTGAGGCTGTAGTGCCATCCTGGGGCGTGGAGAGGACACGCAGGGACACCCTGCAGCCTCCATGTGCTGCCTGACAAATTAGCCATTGATCCAAAGTTGGGAGCCCACAAAGACTGTGCCTGGTTCCCAGGACCAGGCCTCAGAGCAGAGTATGCCCCATTGCTGTGGCCTGCAGTCACTTCCCAGCACTGAGGACAAGGGAGCCAACAGGCTCTGTTACTGCCAGTGAGCCTGCGGCCTGACAGCTCCTGCCCTTCCTGCAAAGACTCAGCTCTTGGTGCTTTAGAGAGAAGTGTGATATGCAGAGCTTCATTTCCTAGAGCAGGGGCTGCTGCCTTCCCCAGCACAGCTCCTTCAGCATGAGTCTGTACAGAGGGGATGTTGCAGCCCACCCCTCCAGACATGCTGTTCTTTTGGGGCTGGTAGCTTTGAAGTGGTTTCCCCCAGGAGATGTTGTTCAGATCAGACAGGATCTCCAGTCCTCCGGTGTTGCTTGGGTGAGAGGGGAGAGGGGCTATGCAGCCTCTCCGTCTGTGGAGAAAGAGGGTGGGGAAGGCAGTGGGTTGTGGTGGAGCCAAGGCTCCAGCTCTCTGACCCCAGGGAGATGTGCAGGCCAGGCCACGGCAGGGCCCCAGGCCAGCCTCGCATTTATTAGCTGTCCCCAAGCCAGCGAGTGATGGCTCCTCTCTTCCCCCTGCCCCTGCCCAGCAGTGCCCAGTGCACTCCAGCATCTGGTGAAGCTGGCAGAGGGGCATTTATACCTTGTCTGCCGCAGGGAGCTGGATGTGCTGCTGCCGGACATTGACTATGTGGAGATCCCTGTGGACTGGTGGAACGCCGAAGCCGATAAATCCCTGCTCATCGGCGTCTTCAAGCACGGTGTGTACCCAGCTTGTCTGGCGGGTGCCGGAGCATGAGAGGGACCCAAGTGGAGAACCTGGCCAGAGCTCTGGTACCTGGAGGGGACATCGCGTCAGTTTGAGGGGGCAGAGCCACAGCCATGCACCAGAGCCACCCAGGGCCAAGGCAGCTCTCCCCAGGCGCCAGCCCCTGCGGTGCTGCTGGCGCGTTCAGGTGGTGGGGCAGGCACACTGCGGTGCCCAGGGTGGCCGTGGCCGGTCTTGTGGCAGACTCTTCTGGTTTGCCACGTGAGGGCAAGGAGGAAGACACAGAGCCTCTCCTGGCATCCCCAGCCTTGTCGTGAAGTCCCCCTGTGGCCTCCAGGAGCCACAGGACTGTTGGCTCCCAGCTGCAGTCTGCTGCAGGTGCTGTGCACAGCTCTCGGGGTGCTGCACTGCCAACTGGGCAGGGCTGCCTGGTGGGACGGAAAGGCTGACCTTTCTCTTTGCCTGCTGCCCAGAGACTGCAGAGCAATTAGCAGCTTTTGGGAAAGTGTTCTGAATTTCTGGGGTGAGACTGGCTCTCACAGCAGCACAGAACAGAGAGTGAGAGCTGTGTCCCACAGAGGAGGAGGTTTGCCTGAACCAGTCTCAGGCCTGGCTTTGTGCTGTCTTTCTCCTTTCTGATGGCCCGTGGCGGTTGGCAGGTTACGAGAGGTACAATGCCATGCGGGCGGACCCAGCGCTGTGCTTTCTGGAGAAGGTGGGCATGCCGGACGAGAAACTGCTTTCTGCGGAGCAGGGCGTCAGCGACGGGGCCCAGGACACTGCCGAAAGGTGGGCAGGGGATGGAGCCAAGCTCTCGGGGGCTGTCTGGCTCGCTCCTGGGGACCGTGGTAGCAGTCGGGCAGTGCTGTGGTGTGTGCTGTGCACAGGAGGAGGAAGGAAGCAGACCGTGTGTCTGAGCACAGTGGGCAGGAGGAAGGCAGCGGGGAGCTGGCTCCCCAATATGAGGCGGAGGGATGGCATGAGCACCAGTTCTTCACTCCCTCCTGCTGATGACTGGCACAGCCAAGGGGGCTCTGCTGCTGCTACAAGACACTAATCCACTGTTTAACCCAGGGGCAGCATGGAAAAGGAAGAGAGCAGTGGAGAAAAGCTAGAGGGGCTGCCAAAGCAGGAGGTGAGTGTGATTCATGGTGATGGATGCACATCTGCTGCTGCCCAGCCTGCCCTTCCACCCCGTGCTGCAGGCTTGGCTCCATCAGCTCTGCTGCGGGACGCTGTGGGACCAGCGCTGCTGGTGACCCTGCTCCGTCCTGGCTTAGCTGTGCCATGCACGGGCTCTGCCCCGCGCTGTCTGCGTCGTCTCTGCTCGCTAGAGCCCAGCTTCTGCTGTTGCCTTGGTGTGTTTTCCTGCCTCGTGGGGAGCTGACAGGGACTGAGGGCTGGGGACGCCAGGGTGCTGCCTCCTGCACTTGGCTTCAGGAGCCACATGGGGCCCTGGCAAAGGAGTTGGGCAGAGAAATGCCCTGTGGGAGAGGAAGAGTAAGTGAGGCAGCATGGGAGGGTGCAGGGTTCGTTTCAGCAGCAGAGGCTGTTGCAGTGCCCCTGTCCTGGGCAGTGGCACTACAGCCTGTGTCACTGTGGTGCACCTTCCCTCTAGGCCCAAAACGGACAGCACTGCCCCACTGAGCTGTCACCTCCCCTGTCCGTGCTGCTCTGATCCCATGTGCTGAGGGTAGCCAGCGACTGCAGCCCGAGGGCACGGGACTCGTGGCCCTGCCTGTCCTGCCACCCCGTACCCTGCCAGGGCCGGGTGGGCTGCAAGTACAGGGGGCTCTTGCAGGGCTGGAGAGCCCTCTCTGATGGTTTCCTTCTGCAGGACATCGTGGCTGCTGGGGTGGGCGAAGCCAGTGAG